CATCAGAAAATTTTCAAATTTCACATGTGAAATCTTTATACTGTCCAGATAGGTATCAAACGTTTCTTAAGAAAAAACTTTATATTTTATCTGTTATTTTCAGTAATTAATCTGTGTATGGGTTTGGTAGATTTGACCAATCGCTCAACCATAAAAAATTAGGAAATAAATATAAATTATACATCTTTCATTCTTGAATGAAAACAAATTATATATATATATTTATTGTTTTTATTATATTGATCCTTCAGCCATGCCTGGCTAAGAATACAGAAGTTACAATGACATGGCTCACCTGCACTCATGGTACTATATAAAATAACAAAACTGACCTTTAGTCTATACAAAGTAACTTGTCTTGGCTGTGTTTTAGTAGACTAGTGTTTTGTTCTGTTATTTTCAGTAATTAATCTGTGTATGGGTTTGGTAGATTTGACCAATCGCTCAACCATAAAAAATTAGGAAATAAATATAAATTATACATCTTTCATTCTTGAATGAAAACAAATTATATATATATATTTATTGTTTTTATTATATTGATCCTTCAGCCATGCCTGGCTAAGAATACAGAAGTTACAATGACATGGCTCACCTGCACTCATGGTACTATATAAAATAACAAAACTGACCTTTAGTCTATACAAAGTAACTTGTCTTGGCTGTGTTTTAGTAGACTAGTGTTTTGTAAAATACAGTCACATTTCAGTTATTCTACATTACGTGTGTATATAGATATTTGCCTTTTCGAAATAAGTTCTTAGTTATTTTTCTTAAAACATAGAACAGTAAATAAAGAAGTAAAGCAAACAATTATCCCTTCTAGTTATGACCTTTGTACTCGGTTACTGCTTGACATAGGTTGCTAAGCCTTTAAAAAATGTGCACGTGGAGGATATGAAACAAAATAATTTTTTTAGGTTTTATATGTACATTTGGATAACTAAAAAATCATAAGTTACTATATCAGTAACATAGAATTCCACAATAAATTATAAAGCATAGTAACTAAGATGTACTTTAGTCTAAATATGAAATTTCGAGGAGACTATAAACACCCTACCTTGTTGAAATATTTGTTCAAAAGAAAGAAATGGCACCAAACCTGTTATAATGGCTGAGAAAGCCACTATGGGGACATTCTGAGCTTCCAATTGGTTATTCATGTGATATATAGAAGTAAGTGTATATAAGGGAGCGTTTCCAAAAATGGGAAGAGGTGGATGGGGTGCCACTGTTTGATATATTACATTACATGAGCAATATCTTAGCAAATAGAATAGATAAGACTTTCTTATTTTATATTCTAGCTTGTCAATATCATTGAGTTTCTAATTTGTACGCAACTATAGATTTAGTATTTTGACTTCACAAACATCTAATTTGCACCAATGCTACATTCAACATACCACATGACACACAAAAATTGATGTTTAGCTGTGTTTTTTTTTAATATTGCTTTTAAATTAAGAAATTGAGTAATATATATATATAGTACTAATATTTGAATTATAATCTACAGATTCATACCAAAGTTATTGACATAAATTCATGAAATAGTTCAATGAAATTTTGAATGCGGGTCAACAAACGAGATGACATGGCCTTTCACCCGTGACGTGTCTCGAAAGGGTTAAATTTCTCTTCAAACTTCATTAAATAATACAATTTAGTACAAATAATTGAATGTTATGCTATTTAGAAAAGTAAAATCTGAAAACCAATAAAAGATAAATTCTCTATAAGAGAGAATGGCCTCGGTAGGTATGGGGTTAATGTGAGTTCTCACTCTGTTCTCATTGATATTCAGAAAAGACTGGCTCACTTTTCACTGTCATCTGTTTCTATCCTGTTTTTCTGGATAACTGGCCACGTTGGTATTCGTGGGAAGGAGCTTGCTGACACTGCAGCCGAGTTCATCTGCTCTAGTGTTGTCACAGCTGTGCCTGTCCTGTATATGGACTATGGTCCTATCATCAGGGCCTGGCTTTGCACTTGTTGGCAGTCGATTTGGGGTGAGCAAATTTAAAACAAGCTTTTCCAGATCAAAATTACTGTTGTTGTTTGGTCATCTAGTTTCCATAAGGATCAACGGGAGGAAGTTGTCTTGGTTAGGTTATGCATTGGTCACAAATTTTTTATTCATCATTTTCTTTTATGTGGGACTGACCCACCAATGTGTGGCCTTTGTGACACTCAAATCACAATTGCACACATTTTACTTTCGTGCAGTCGTTACAAAAATAAGTGGCAGCACCATTTTAGACTTCTCTTTTCTAAGGGTTTACCCCTGATGTGTGATGGTATCATTGATGATGGTGACACTGTCCAGCTTGATTGTGTGTTTTTAACTTTTTAAGAGCCATTGTATTTGAGTTTTTTACCTAATTTTGGGACATTGTTTTGCTTTTAACTTGATTTCTTTTTATTTTCTATAGTTTAACTTCTTATTTTTATATCAGTTGTTTGGCACAGATAGCAACGTTGCTTTGTGCCAATAAACCCCCAAAACCAAACAATCAGCTTATAACTGTCTTTTACAAAGTAAAGATATCTTACTCTTGAAATTTAGTTGAATGGATGGCAACTGTCTGTTGTAGAAACACAAATATAGAGGAAGATGTTTCGTAAGTCTTCTGCCTTTCATCTTCAGGTTAGGTGGAATACTTTTGAAATGTCGTTCTCTATACTTGTGTTTCTACAACAAGCAGTTGCCGTCCATTCAACTAAATTTCATCGTGAATAGCTAGCTTAAATAATGTATCGAGGAATGTCGTACTCTTAGTACTAGCACCAAGTATTTTGTAAAATATAATCTCATTTCAGTTACTATACGTTACACAAGTGTATATGTTATTGCCATTTACAAGTAAATTTGTAAATAAATGTCAGTTGTTTTTCTTAAACATAGAACAGTGAATAAAAAAATGTATCTAGAAAACAATGATGTTATGAAGTTTTTTTGTAGTCGTGTGCTGTACTTGCTAAGCCTCATTAAATCTGGCACGTGGAGACATTTGAAAACAAAAAGTTTTGTAGGCTTTATATATGCATTTCAAAATAACAAAAAAATTATAAATTATTATACCATTACCACAGAATTCCACTGTCATTTATCAGGCTTCCTAACAACTATATTTGGGTCTTAAAAATCACATTTCTGATCAGCATATTATCCTGATCACTACTCTCCAAATGCTCGAACAGTTATAATGGCTTTACCCATGTAAATACTTCAGTAAGAGCGACAGAATTACATAGTTTGAAATGAGAGTTTTTGATTGGTTACAAACATGTAGTTAAGAGAAGTGGGTGTTGGTAAACAAGTATTTCCAAAAGAGGAAGAGGTGGGTGGGGATACTGTGGTGGGTTCACCAAATATAATGATATCTCTGCAGATATGATGACCACAATACAATATGAGCAAATGTAGAAGATGTACCATGTGACGCACTCAAAAAATCTATATTTTTTTAACATTTACTTTTGAACTAAGAAATTAAATAATGTGTAATAATAAAATTTGAATTGCAGACTACAGTTTGATTCCAAATTTATAGATATACATTTGTAAAATAGTCATTTAATAAAATTTTGACTGTTAGTCTATAAAATGTTATAACATGGGCTTTGACCCATACCCATATGGAAATGGTTGAAACAAAAAAAATTGAAGGCTGTAAGTTCACATTTTTGTTTGGGGACATCTATAGTGCAACTATAAACTTTGTGGGAACTTAGAACTTGATATAGAAGAGAAAGATAATTTGAAATGAGCGATTTGAAGCAAAGTTTCATGTGATACAAAGAAGTGAACATTAAGATTTTATATACATATCTCCCCTTAAAATATGAAATTAAACTTACACAGTATAAAAATTTGAATTGGAAACTATATTTTGATGCCAATTTTATCAACATATGTTGATGCTAAAGGTTGAATGTAATTGAAAAAGGTTGTGACATTGTTTTTTGTACTAGAATAACTGCAAGTGAAAAATACTGGAATATAATGGCAGTATGGCATCATATTCAAGAAAATAGTGATGAAATGAAACTTAATAATTATTCTTAAGTGTGTGCAGTTAAATACATTGTAAATACTTATTTTTGTTTCCACAGAGCAACCATTGCCTCCCGGTGTTACTTCAACACGACCACCACACCCTGGTCCAACAGGTGAGTCTCCACGAGGTTGATGATTGAGGTTTTACGAAAGGGATTTCATTGTATCTTCTTATATGTGCAATTATTTGCCTAATCAACTTAGTACAACTACCACAATAAGCTGAGTTTAATACCTTGAAATCCTATTTCAAAATCACACAAAGTTTTAAAGTGAAGAAAAATATATTTGTTCAGTGGATAAAAGGAGACATAAGACATACTTATGTTAATATTTCTTTTAGTTAATATACCACTGAGACAATACTTTGAAATAAAGTTGCCCATTGAGGTGTTGTTACATAACTTTCAGTCTATTGATATTTTATGGAAAGCTTGTATACTATGTATTAATGTGATGAAACAGTGTTTTACTTTGGATGAGGCATTTGCTTTCTACAAGTCCAGTGTACCTTTTTTTATTGTTATTATTATAGACTCTAGTTTTAGATTAATCTTGAAAACATACATAAGAACTGCTGTTGTCACTTGGCAATTTAAATTGGAAGTAGAAAATAATTGTTCTTACCTTGAAAACAGTGTTCTGATTTTTGTCATCTGTATTACTAAGGGTGCAGGTGGTGCTTTTGTTTAATATAAAAAAGTGAGATGGGGGCTTTAAATATAAGGTGATCAGTATGCAGGGTTCCTTCTAGAAGAAATAGTAAATTTACATCAAAGGGTAGAGGGGTGAGTATTTCTCAGTTAGGTTGGAAAATGACTTGTCAAAAGTATTTTCATAAACTGAACTGAAATTAGCTAGACATCTTGTTTCTGAGCCATCTTAGTCATGAATGTATGGAGTGGATTCTGTGTTTGATCTGCCCCCATCACTGTCACTGTTTTTTTAGGAGTTTAAGTATTTGAAACAGTCCTGCTGCAATTCCTTTTCTCACTCGTTTCAAGTAATACCTGGGCAATTTAAATCTTTTGACACGGGGTCGGTCAATTTGACTGAGTCACGTGACCTTCTGTACTCGTTTAAAGTTGACATAAAATTAATACTTACAACTTTCTATAAAATAGGTATATCTTCATGAAATTTGGCAGTCTTTCAGTTGATATTACAAGTCTTTCACACACAAAAAGCTGTATTTCTTAGTGAAGTACTTTTAATAAAATAAAGTTTTGTCCATGAATATATTGAGTATTTGTTTTG